CTCTCTCTCTCTCTCTCTCTTTCTTTCCTTCCTTCCTTCTTTCCTTCTTTCCTTCTTTCCCTCTTTCTTTCTCTCTCTCTCTCTCTCTCTCTCTCTCTCTGCAGGAAGATTGGCCCTGGGCTAACACCTGTGCCCATCTTCCTCTACTTTATATGTGGGACGCCTGTCACAGCATGGCTTGATAAGTGGTGCATAGGTCAGCGCCCGGGATTGGAGCCTACAGACTCTGGGCCACCGAAGCAGAGCATGCAAACTTAACCACTATGCCACTGGGCCAGCCCCCCCAGTATCTCTTTTTAAATATACTATTTAAATTTACATACAGAAAAGTTGATTCTTTTTGGTGTACAGCTCTATGAGTTTTGATAAATATGTTGAGTCGTGTAATGACCACCACAAGAAAGGTACAAAACAGACACATCAGTCCCCAAAAGTGCCCTGCGTTTCTCCTTTGCAGTCAATTGCCTCCTCAACCCTCCACCCCTGGGAACAGCTGTTATGTTCTCTGTCCCTATAGTTGTTTTTTATGTTAACCTTTTAAAATTGAGATATAATTGACATATAACATTGTATTAGTTTTAAGTGTACAACATAATGATTTGATATATGTATATATTGCAAAATGATCACCACAATTAATTTGATTAATATCTATCATCGTAGTTATAATTTTTTTCTTGTGATGAGAACTTTTAAGATCTATTCTCTTAGCAACCTTAAAATATACAATATATTATTATTAACTATAGTCACCATGCTGCACATTACATCCCCAGGACTTTTTTATCTTATAATAACTGGAAATTTGTACTTTTTGACTATCTTCACACATTTTGTCCACCCCCCACCCCCTGCCTCTGGCAACCACATGTTCTCTGTTTCTATGAGTTCAGTCTTTTTTTTTTTAGATTTCACATGTAAGTGATATCATATAGTATTTGTCTTTCTCTGACTGACATTTCACTTAGCACGATGCTCTCAACGTCCATCCATGTTGCAACAAATGGCAGGATGTCCTTCTTTTTTTATCTTGTTTATATATATAACATTTATATATATAACATTATATGCATATAATATATGTTTTATATATATTATACATTATATTATATATAATGTTATATATAATATATATTACACAATGTTATATATATATAACATTTTCTTTATTCAATCATTGGTTGATGGGCACTTAGGTTGTTTCCATTTCTTGGCTATTGTAAATAATGCTACAATGAACATGAAGGTGTAGATATCTTTTTGAGATAGTGCTTTTGTCTTTTTTTTTTTTTTTTTCCCCCAAAGCACCAGTAGATAGTTGTATGTCATAGTTGCACATCCTTCTAGCTGCTGTATGTGGGACTCGGCCTCAGCATGGCGGGAGAAGCGGCGCGTTGGTGCACGCTCGGGATCTGAACCCGGGCCGCCAGCAGCAGAGAGTGCGCACTTAACCACTAAGCCATGGGGCCGGCCCAGTGCTTTTGTTTTATTTGAATAAATACCCAGAAGTAGAATTGCTGGATGACATGGTAGTTCTATTTTTAATTTTTTGAGGAAACTCCATGCTGTTTTCCATAGTGGCTGCACAAATTTACATTCCCACCAACAGTGCACAAGGGTTCCCTTTTTTCCACATCCTCGCCAACACTTGTTATTTCTTGTCTTTTTGATAATAGCCATTCTAACAGGCATGAGGTGATATCTCACCATGGTTTTGATTTGCACTTCCCTGATGATTCATGATGTCGAGTGTCTTTTCAAGTACCTGTTGGCCATTTGTATGCCATCTTTGGAAAAATGTCTATTCAGATCCTCTGAATATAGTTTTGCCTTCTCCAGAAAGTCATATAAAAGGAACCAGTATGTAGCTTTGAGTTTGATTTTTTTTTACTTAGCATAATTAATTTGAGATTTATCTATGTTGTTGCAGGTATATTTTATTTCTTTTCATTGCTGGGTAGTATTACATTGTAGAGATGTATTACAGTCAGTTAATCCACTTACCTGTTGATGTCAAAGGACACTTAGGTTGGACAAAAGTGTAATAACCTGTATCCATCATTAAAATATCATAGAGAGTATTTCACTTCCCTAAAAATCTTCTGTGCTCTGCCTGTTCATCACTCTCCCTGCCCTGACTCCTCTGGCAACCACTGATCTTTTTATTGTTTCCATGGTTTTGCCTTTTCCAGAATGTCACATAATTGGAGTCATACAGTCTATAGCCTTTTCAGATCGGCTTCTTTCACTTAGTAATACGCACTTAAGTTTCCTCCATGTCTTTTCATGGCTTGACAGCTCATTTATTTTCAGCACTGAATAATATTCCATTGTCTGAATATACCACAGTTTATCCATTCGCCTACTGAAGGATATCTTGGTTGCCTCCAAGTTTTGGCAATTATGAATAAAGCCGCTATAAACATCTGTGTGCAGGCTTTTGTATGGACATAAGTTTTCAACTTCTTTGGGTAAATACCAAGGAGCGCAATTGCTGGATCGTATGGTAAGAGTATGTTTGGTTTTCTAAGAAACCACCAGACAGTACTCC